TCAATAGACTATGCTTGGTACACACGGTTTACAAGTCAAAAATGCTCTGCATGCGGTGCATACGGCGCGTGAAGCTTTGAACGCGCTTCACGGCCCGCACACTATACGGTATACACGCGACATAAATCACACGGAACATATACGGTATGAAGTGATCTCACCTGCATAGCAATATTACACGATAATCACAAGCAATCAGTGCATTAGCAATCAGTGAGGCTGAAGTTCAGTGAACTGCCCGGCGCCTTCACTGATGACCCAGATCTGCGTCAGCTGTGTCTGACGCAAGCTCCTGATTATAATGACCGCATATTTATTGTATGTCTTTGCTTCGTAATCTTCTCAGAACATATTCCTTAGAATATTCTTGTCTCCTACTCGTCTCAGAACATGTTCCCTAGAATATCCTCGTCTCCTACTCGTCTCAGAACATGTTCCCTAGAATATCCTTGTCTCCTACTCGTCTCAGAACATGTTCCCTAGAATATCCTCGTCTCCTACTCGTCTCAGAACATGTTCCCTAGAATATCCTCGTCTCCTACTCGTCTCAGAACATGTTCCCTAGAATATCNGTCCCACCACCCGCGTCCCACCACCCGCGTCCCACCACCCGCGTCCCATCACCCGCGTCCCACCATCCGACTTTACATCATATATCTCGTCTTATCGGGCGCTCCAATATTTAGAGTATATTAATTATTTTGCATCTTACCCAGTCACAATTGCAACTTTACATTATTTATCTAAGGTTCGAGAGCTATCCTACGTGTAGTGAATATTCGCTTCATCGTTTCGTACCCATTAAAAGTTTCTAAAAGCTCAGAGAACGGGGGATCAAAATTGACGTTACAAATTACACTGAAGCGAGACGTCGGGATTAATTCGTGCTTTTATAGCGGCAGACGACAATTTCTTAAGCGTCCATCTTGAAGAAGAAAGATAGCGAGAATTACCCAACACACTCACGGACATGAAAACTCGAAACAAGTTTCGAGTTTCTTAACCACAGCAGAAAAAAGATACTGTAAGCATTATCTAAAATTGTAAATTAGTGCATTGAACTGTTACCAATATAATAAATAATTATTATCGTTGCATTTTTTTTCACCTCATTTAAACTGAGCTCATCACACTGCTTAGAAATTTCCTTGGTACAATCCATTATTGGCCTAAGATAGGAAGTCAATAGTCGCGACATTCATTCAACGAAAAATTATTCATTTAAGAGCCCTCACAACATCGAGCCTCGTGGCGATGTTCACAACAATCGTTCGTCGATAGATGCTGCGGCAGTTCGAGGGACGTTGTCATAAACGTCGCAGGCAGAAGGTAAGTTAGTTCCGATGACTTGATCCGTTCATCTCACTGGAACTAATTTTCCAACACAGGGATTAGCAAGTTACGGCCCTTGGCTGCATTAGCATTTACGATTTAAATGTACTAAGTACCATATTAATTCCTATCAATTTAACCCTGTGGCGAATGAGGTGAGGTCTTCATTTTAATCATTATGAAGGCAGGTTGTTGGAAACTTCGTTAAAATAATTTTGAATCGTGCAGCACTTAACCAAATTAACAATGGTTTAGCTCGTATTTCATGCGTCGCAACTTCAAATAAAAAATATGTGATTTACGAAGTATAAGACGGGATCACTGCAGCCTTAATAGAAAAAATAGCGTACCTCTGGTCCGACCTGTGTTGCTATTACCTCTGAACATTCAATAGCAACTTCTGGCTGGGCAATGGGCATATATGCAAGCTTCATTACTGGAATCCACCGAAACATCCAATACCAACTGTTGGCTGGGTAATGGACATAAGTGCACGCATCATCACTGTAATAACCAATACATTCAATGCCAACTGTTGACGAGGCATTCGCACACGCTAACTTAAAACCGTGCTCGCCTTATCACCTTCTTTTAATTTCACTTTTCGGCATACTTTAGGTGGTCTTTGATTTTTAGGGCACAAAACTTGTGTAGCAATTTTGAGTTACACAGTGCCTGGTTGTTTTCCATCTATCTACGCTGTGGCCCGCCCACCTAATTAAATTGCGACCCAATGCCCCTCTATATATATAGGTTACGTATTTACTCCGATAAAAATTTAATTTAATATTATGTCTTATCATTGTTTACACCTGAAGTCACTTTAATGAGCGAGATAAAGGCGAAAGGGTTTTCCTACATTTCATCTTATTCATCATAACTTGATTCTAACCCTAAATCTGTGTGCCATGGTTTTCAATTATATAATCATTGTGACTTTTAAATTGAACTTGACATATACATCTCCTAAAATTAATGGCACATCTAAAAGCATAGAATGTGTAATTGTTTTGAAATAAATGATAAACTTTCAATACAAAGCGATCAAATTGTGAAAACAATATATTTGGTATTTATTAAGCAAAAATTTGATTAATTGTTGGCAGGGAGCACGCTCATTCCTCCACCTTTCTCCTGGTATGCTCTCGGCCCAACCTGTCACCCTGGGTCTTGCTTTCTAACATCTATTATAACTGTCTTCAGCTATCAATTCAAAGAAAATCGACTCAAATTATTTAAAGGAATATAAGTTTTCATTATTAAATATTTTATTTTCTCTGTATCTTTTCTGTTCCAAGTGTCTGACTATGTTAAATTTCTAATATTTATAATAATAATGTCAGTGAAAGGAAAATTCCCAGCACTAACATGAACTCACCGACGGGTTGATAAGCTAGGGAGAGGCTCGTGAATAGTATAGTTTATCATCGGAATTATCTGAGCTGCCTTTGTAATGAGTAGGTCAGATATCACTAAGAACTAAATAATTCCCTGAACGAGAAACTCTCAAAAGTTTCTGGACCTGAGCCCTCGCAACATTATTTTCACGTTACGGATAATTTTAATAACCATAAATGCTGGGTGGGCAATTGAATAGTTTCAGAGGTAGACCGAACTGAACTCCAAGTTAGTAAATAAAACTGCGTGTGTTCGTTGAACATAAGTGTATATGATTATTTGATGGCAGTGAGCGTAATTATTAAAGAATAGTGTGCGTGTTCTTATTTAAATTGAAATAAAAATCGACGCTAATTAAGGTTCACAAATCTATGTTGGGTTTGGGCAACGACGCGAACTTCGATTTTGCACCTGATTGATTTTGCAAGATATTCAAGAGACGAAAGCCGCCATTGGTGAGAGATCATATTCAGTGTTATACAGTAGCGAAGTGTGGACATATGCCACGCCAATAGTTAGCATTCAATGTTTAGGGGTAGTACTGAAGGAGTGAAGTCTGTACACATGCCCAATAATGCCCATTGCCCAGCCTACGGTTATATATATGCCTATATATAGGGGTATTAGCAGCACTAATCAAACCAGAGATACGCTAAATTCTTCAATGAAGGCTGCATTGAAAATTTGGTCACATCATATATTCTTGTAGTTCGTAAATATCAATTTAAAAGTTACAATTTATTAAATACGAATGCAATGCTAAAATGATGGTAAGACTTTACTGTCCATACTTTTTTAAATTAAGTTTTATCAAGTTTTAAACCAAATGTCTTCATCATCATGAAATGATGCATTTTTACCTCAAATGCAAGCTCCTCATAAGCAGTAATTAACATGAATTAATAACAATTAACTGCAAATTTAAATTTGGAAATGCGCATGCCACCCGCGGACCGTAGCTAGCCTGCTCATGCATCCATGTGTTAGACGCTCAGTTTCCAAAGAGATTAATTAAATATTGCATGTAGTCTTCGATACTAACTTACTCTTGTCATCAGTTTTCAACGTCTATGTTGCTATCGTTCCTCGGAGTGCTGCGATTGTGATTGTGAGGCTCGATGTTGTGAGGGCTGTTTTCATGCATTGTTGTGAACATCGCCGCGAGGCTCGATGTTGTGAGGGCTGTTTTCATGCATTGTTGTGAACATCACCACGAGGCTGATGTTGTGAGGGCTGTTTTCATGCAGTGTTGTGAACATCGCCGCGAGGTTCGATATTGTGAAGGCTGTTTTCATGCAGTGTTGTGAACATCGCCGCGAGGCTCGATGTTGTGAGGGCTGGTCATTAAATCACTTTCGGTTGTATCAATTGGCTCCTCGAACAAGACCATATTTTGGATGTTATATCAAAGAAATGTCGAAGCAGTGCGATGAGCTCGTCTGAATGTGGCACATAATAAAATAAGAACTTATTTGTGTAGTGGCGGTTTAGTGTAAATTTCATTGTCTGTGAAAGTCTCTCATTTCTCTCTGCTGTTTAATTCTCGTACAATATTTCGAAAAATATGTTTGTTTAATATTACAAAGGCATTACATTTGTTCGTCGTTTGATAAGGTATAGTTGGGATTTCACCACTGAAATTGAGTGTTTTTTGAGGTTATCCAACTAAGATATTGATAAGGAGTCGGTCGCAGTATAGGCCCGAATTCCACGATATGTGAGAACAACTGAGTTATGACAAATGATGTTCTATAAGTTTCGGACCTCCTGAATAAAGAATTGTGGAAGAGTTGACGCAATGATAAGGGGCTTGTATCTTTCACGATAAGATGGGAACGCTACGAAACGAGATGGTCACTCTGTTCTACTATAAGTAAATGGTCAACGTTAATGCACGTTCAGTGATGATTTTGTGTTCAGGCAGGAAATCTCTACTGCCATCTTCTTAATTTTTTTAGGAAAATACCCAGAAGAATGTATTAGGGAGAGTTCGATTCGTTTTCTTAATTAAACTTTTTATAACAACTGAGCTGAAGTAATCACTCAGTGGTTTTCTTTGTATTTGAATAGCACGAACCTACTACGTCAAGAAGTGAGCAAAGAAGAGCCCGTGTCGAGAAAAAGTCATTCAATCCGACACAATTTTTTCGAATGAATTATATAGATTTCTATTTTGTTATCTCAATGCTGCGAGATATGTACTATCATTAGGTAATTTTCCGTGCAAGTAGGATTCCAAGAACTGTCATAAACATTACTTCCTAATAAGATATAAGTAATTACAACTCTCACTTTTTTCAGCTACTTCCTAATAAGATATAAGTAATTACAACTCTCACTTTTTTCAGCTACTTCCTAATAAGATATAAGTAATTACAACTCTCACTTTTTCAGCTACTTGCGTACCAATTTTCTAGTAGGCTATCAGAGAAAAACGTGCATTAACTGAGAAGCAAGCCTATATACTGATTCTTGCGGTTGGTGAGCATTAGAGGACAGCATGTCACGGTTAAGTGTGGACCACAGCGGAGACCCGCATTATGACACCAACTACCAAAGGTCCCTACGCCACTACATCACCCGAGAAGCCCTGCCCAGCGAGTCCAACTACAGAAACATTCATACCATCCACCAAGAGAGGCCTACCTTGGATGACCTCCACGACTCCACGTACAAGCCTAAGAAGGTAACTCGTCCTGATATTGGAGTGCTCATAGCCAATCCAATATAATCAATCACAACATATCTCTTGGAATGATGTAACTCAACTTACCTACTATAAACACTGAGAGTCAAAGGAATCCTTCAAAGAACTCCATCAACTTATGTTGAGTTTGATATGGATGCAACTCATGATATGGATGCAACCAGAAAAAATACATTATTTAATCATTTTAATGATGCTCAAGGGAAGCCAGAAGGGTAATTCGTAGCTTGTGGATTATGAGAGCTTTTGTGGTAGCCAAATTTTTGGTACAGCAACAGTCTCAGGCTAGATCGTCAGCATCTTGGGAATTTCTCAAGGTTATGACGAGAATGAAAGTTCGCAAAAAATATGAAATTCATAAAATCACAATAAAAAGTATGGTAATTGGAAGAGTAAAATTAAAACTACGTATTCTTTTTTGGTCATATAACTGCATTTTGAAATATTAAAATAAAATAACAATACTTCTTCGAACAAGAAACTACAGACACGTTTTGTGTCGAGTTCGATATTTATCCGATCTTAAATGGTCGTTCATTCTTCCAATTCACTAAATTGCTGTTTTGCATTAGTTGTATTCTATTAACTCTCATATATGATTTACTTAAGAGTGACAACATTTGCTCACTAGGCAGACGAGCAGACTGGAAACGATGACGTCGAGGCAAAGGTCCAGAAAAGAGGCAAAGTCATCAAGTTCGGCTGGAAGCAAGGAGTGCTCGTGAGTATAGTTGCCTGCACAACTCTCCGTCACCTCAGTTAAACCAAAAGATACCAACTTATTTATTTCAGGAGAGTAAATAGTTCGACGTCTCGAGCACAAAAACGTTAAATTGATGCAGAACCACCAGGTTATGCCCCTAATTTCATTAGTAAATAAGCAATGTTGAATGTTTATGTCTTGAAACGTTCAGGTATTCGTGATTTGAAATGAGATGTATTCTGTTTTTCAGATGCGATGTTTGCTGAATATTTGGGGCGTAATGCTTTTCCTGCGAATCTCCTGGGTAGTTGGAGAAGCTGGATTAAGTGAGTCTCAAGAGGACTCAGTGAGTTCATGGTGATCTGTTGAGTTATGTAGCGAGCTAATGAAGAATACAATAACTATTATTTACACGGCAAAATTATCTGTAGACTGCAGTATAATTTACGGATTTTTCTTCTTATACAGTCGAAGCCTTGGTGATTGTGTGTTTCGGCAACACCGTGACATTCATAACCGCCATCTCCATGTCCGCCGTGGCGACGAACGGTCTCATTGCAGGCGGTAAGGTTTGATTAGGTTACACAAGACGTCGTCGCGTGCGGTTGAAGAATGTTCTAGAGATTTGAACAAATTCTATGCTAGAGTTAAATCGAACTTGCAATTTTAACAGTTTAGAGAACTGAAATTTGTTATGATAACATGAATGTAAATTTAAGGTGAGTCATTTATATTTAATTTCTTAAGTCATTTTATTTAGTTTGAAAATAGGACTAGTTGGGGTTTATTTTTATTACAAATCATGTCAATTTATCATTAGTATTACATTTCACTACTTGTATGACACGCATTATTTTTTTTGTCGCTTTAATACCTCAAATAATCTACACATGGACACTACCAATGCCTATACTGTATATTATTCATCATACATGGTTTCTTCTAATTTTACCTCTGACTGGCTGTCCCATAAATCGTAGGGGGCGTGTACTACATGATCTCCCGGTCGCTGGGTCCCGAGTTCGGGGGCTCCATCGGCCTCATGTTCACTATCGCTAATTCAATCGCTGTCGCCACCTATATCATCGGTTTTGTCGAGAGTTTACAGGTAATAGTCGGCCAACGAGAAAACTATTTTATCTCAATTTGGAATTCATATCCACGAATCTCGTTAGCAATGAAGGACATTCATTATATAGATGGAGACACGTATACGCATTCAGCTTTTTCAGTCTCTAACACGAAACATGGCTCATAACGTCAATGAATGATATTCAGTAATATTCGGCCATCCATTTCTCTAAAGAATGGCTAATATTGTGCCTGGTTACGTGCAGGGCATGCTTTTTTTCCACTCCCATGGCCAAATCATAACTTCATTGCCTATTTACGAGCTACACTTTTAATTTTCCATACTAGTGTACAAACATTAATATTGTTTCATGGTGACGAGCAGGACATGTTGTTCTTTTACTTCGATACCGTCATGATCGACGGAGGTGTCAACGATATTCGGGCCGTCGGGACAGGAGTATTGTTCGCCCTCATGATCCTGGCCATCGTGGGCATGGACTGGGTGACCAGGGTGAGTGATTTGTGACCACTGACCAGGGTGAGTGTTGGGTGACCAGGGCAACCCGGGTGATAACCTTGTGGACATGCCTCTTGTTTTGATAAATCTCTCATCTCTTCGAGACCCTTACTGAGGCATCTTTCCAGATTACAGTTTAGAAATCCAGATCACTGGTAATTGCAGTACGCAAGATACGTAGTGTGAAATTATATCACATTTAAACTCTGCTGTTAGGATGAACAGAGGTAAATTACACTACTGGAAAAGCTATGATACGGTGAAAAATACAATTATTGCAAAAAATTTCACAATATATACATCTAGAGAAAAACTTTATAGTCATAATAACTCAGAGCACAACCCCGCCTAGAGTTCAAACGTAGGCCAGCGACATTCTTTTGCAACCTTAATTAAGAGAATACAGCACTCGATCCACGCTCGAGGGCCATCACATTTCGACAGATGGGCAGGTACTTAGCCGGGTGCAGGAGTAGGTGCTGGGTTAGGCTTACTAACAGCCATGCAAAGTAAGCCAAATGTTGGACCTCGAACTTTAGGTTTTAAGGCGTATTACTTATACTTGTTAATCGTAATCAAACTCTGATGCGTGGTATTTTACATGCAATTACCTGCTTAAGGATTTGGGCTTAAAGAACTTGAGTTCGGTAGAGAGGGCTGCACGAATTTAAATCGGCCTTGCTTATCATCTTGTATTTGGCACATGAAGGGAAGTTTCCATCGCTTGGTGGCAGCGGTTCACACACCGTAGTGTCATCATAGTTGGAACAATATAGGATATTGTTCAGCCTGTACGTCGGCTGCATGCTGGCACCAAGATCTTAGCATATGGACACAAATAAGAAGTCGATACCTTGCAAGGCTTGCATCTAATTCGCTTATCCCGTGCCTAATTGCAATTAGATAGCTTCACCTTGTTCCTCTTCACACGCACCTTTCTCTAACGCTCTACTATCAAACTGCATTTCGATAGTCAGAAGAAGCGCCACCGCAAATATACGCACATTTTTATAAGTGATACTAAGTTGTGTGAATGAATATTTTCCATACATTCAAGTTCTATATATACGATTTTTAATTTTTTAAGAATAACGGTACTGCCGAGATTACTTTTTTTATGTAAAACTTATCTAATAAATGGTAAAACACAGGAAAGAGAAGAAAACAGCGGCTACGGTGAAATACAGAGTCACTCATTTAAACGGCATACACAAATAAATAGATTTAAAAATCTATCCCGTTACGGATCTTTATTTGCTGACCACTATGTACAGTTTCTTCACTGCAGGATAATTTTGGCTATGTACACACCGAACAATCGGCTTCGCGAAGTTTAATTATAATTACAATTCCTTGTGGACAAGCCACGTACGCTAAATGTAAGGGACACATTGTTTCTACATAAAATCGTATGCCCATATTGAAGACCAGTTGGTACTGACTGTCTTGTCTACCTATACGGTTGTTCATTGCGGCTGTGTGCATTGTCTAGCCACTCTCGCTCTGAGCCGTGCCTTGCGAGATGCCACCACATATGCCATATATTTTTCTTTACATCAACTTCCTCAGGTCCAAATGATGCTGCTGTTCTTGCTGCTAGCCTCACAATTGGACGTGATTATTGGATGCTTCATCGGTCCGATGACTGACGAAGAAAGGGCGCGCGGCTTTGTGGGCTGGAATGGTGAGTATAGTGAAGAGGAATAGTTTCAGATTTGGTGTACTCGGTGCCAATATTTTTATTCAGTCTTGTGTTGGATGCTGATTGTGTATTGTGTGTCAATTATTGAAATGATGTTCATATAGTATTTCACTTGATGATTAGCGGCAACGTCCCTTGATCTGAGAGTTTGATATATAGGCAAAGATGGTTTAATATAATTAGTGATCTAGGTTATGATTGAGAGACTTGTTTCGGTAATTATGAAGGGGGTTCATACATCGAGCGGCATGGGTAGGGGAAGTGGTTTGTAATCCATACTCTAAACATTTTCATGGATTTGTCTAATCCAGAATTCCACAAGTGGGCGTCTGGCGAGTTGTTCTGCGAAGTCCTTCATTATTTCGCTGTTAAAACAAGGCACTGTCATGCAGTATGCAGTATCAGTTTTCCATAGCTCAAGTTTGTAGATGTCTTTTAGAACACATGATTTTTCGGAGAATCATCAATATTCGTTCATTTTCTATAGCTCGATTTCGCAACAGAAAATTACAGATATATTTTTTTCAGGTGAGGTGTTTTCGGACAACATGTTACGAGAATACCGTGACTACGACGGCGAGCCTCAGAACATCATCTCGGTGTTCGCTGTGTTCTTCACTGCCGTCACGGGCATCGTCGCGGGTGCTAACCTCTCCGGGGATCTCAAGGTTGTTATTGTAACTATTGAGTGATTCTGATTTATAACTATTGATGACTTTCACGGTTCACTCAAAGTCAGACATGATAATATTTCTTGAACTAATGTCACTAATGTACTCTTGCAGGCGCTATATTAAGCGCCACCTGACTGATACTATATTTCTACCTTAACCTGAGGACAGGGATTCGTTGACTAAGTGCGTAAAGGATAAGTAGGACACCATCTGTTTCGAGAACTTATCTTGATACGGGGGGATATATGTGAAGGATGCGATACAGGTAAAGCTAAGGCGTTGACGGTCAGGTCAGAGTAGCTCGAACGCTAGTTATATCTCGGCGTGCGTACTTGTACCTACTGCGGACTTCTGCGGGGCTGTACTAATGTTCCCAGCCCTTTTATAGAATCACGGCTTCCGCCCACAACTGAGGTCTTGATTGCGTGATAAATCACGTGATGTTGTCCACGCTGACTAAGGTCAAGTACATTTCCATCAATATCTAATACGTCTAGTGGATATTGAGTCTCAATTATAATGAATAGAATGAGACTCCTGATTGTCACCGGACAGTACATACTTAAATGGTTGTGAGTAGAACGATGAAATGATCGTAAAAACTGCGCATTACTCATAGTACAGTTGTACTATGCACACTTGATATTTGTTTATCAATCACTGTTATATATACTAGAAACGTCACACCGAACCATTCAAATTATGTTTGCATTTTCCAATAGGTGAAAAATTGGACATTTCATAACTCTGTTAAATTTTAACTTTTCACCGCAGGATCCTGGTTCGGCCATCCCGAAAGGCACCCTCCTCGCCATAGGCATCACCTTCTGCAGCTACATCCTGTACCCCTTCCTGCTGGCTGCCAATGTGGTCCGCGACGCTTCAGGTATCACTGCTTTATTGTTATCAGTATCACTGCTATTGGTATCAGTATCACTGCTATTGATATCAGTACTGTCACACGATTTTTTATTTCTTATTTTCGCGACCGCAGCGATGAGTATCTGTTCATATAGCTATTTTGTTCTTTTCGAATGTTCGCATGCGGTGACTGCTCGGTGGGGTGCCAAGTAGCCATTCAGGTAGATCAATTTGATTTCATTATTCTATATTTCGGACTTAATCTTTGTATTTTGCCGGTAGGCTCACCTTACTTTTAGTTTCTGCGTTATTTTAACGAGCACTGTGCGAGTAGTGAATACAATCTACTTAAAGAGCAAACCTCGCGACATAATCTCTTTATTAAAAATGGGCTTTAACTTTAAATACACAGTTTAATGACGGCTATTTTACAACAGAATATTTTCGTACTTCAAATTACAATAGGTATAATGTTGCAACAAATTTGATTTGGCTATTCCTATTCCGTTATCAATTGCAAATCCCATCGTGCATATACATTTGTCTGTAAAGTAGAGTTGGTTGACTATGAACCTTCTTAGTAGTTACATCGCCCACCTTTTATGTTCATTCGGTCCGTGGGCTACACCCAAGTATAATGCAGCAGCCTTCAAGTTGCCCGTGCATTTTAACGTGGCATAGGATGATGTCCAGCTGGCAGATGCCGTGCATTAATTTTCTCTGGTATGAAGGTATCGATTAGAATTTACTCGGTGTGCTTAGTTGGTCAATGTTTCTGTCTGAGTCATAAATATTAGGAAAAGTGATCCCGAGTATACAGCACCAGATAAATGAAACCCTATTGGACCGTCTAGGATATAATGTGAACGATTATCTATTGAGACATTCAACAGTGAAAACAAAATATCCGACTGAGCAGCATTTTAACATGCGAATGGCATGGTAGCGCGCAGTGTGTCATAAACATCTCGACACGCGCTATGCTACGTTTTGGCTTATAGGATTTTAAATACTGTGGTGGGCGGCCCACAGGCAATACATTCTTTAGGACCATCAGCCGAGTCGTCCTGTGTCTAAAGTTTAGACACAAGAAAACGTTCTGCATAACTTCGGAACGCTCGCAACGCTGTCGTTGTAGTTTGTGGTCACCGATGCGCGTTGATGATGCGTGGTTGTGTATTGTGTTCTAATATCTGGAAAATATTTAAATTTATCATTCTAGACATATAATTCATGTATTCGTGGAAATTGAAGCTTATTTGATCAATTTTATAGCTTGATTGGTTGAGATGAGATTGATTACTTCGGCGTATTGTGACTGACCGTGAGATTTACTTCACGATTGTTTTATTCGTAATCTTGGGCTGCCTGGCCTAGAATGCAACATTGGGTGAAGTTGATGAATTGAACTCAAAAGTGGATATTCGGGTATATCAAAGAATTTAATTATTTTGAACTCTATATATGTAGGATCGATTTCGAATATAGATTATACCATCCGCCAGAATATCGATGAGTCATCCCTAGTCCAGAGGAAGCGAGTGTCATACGCAGGGTTCTTCGTTCTAGACTCTAGAGCATCGCCAAAGTCAGAGAGACGTGATATTATATTCATTAAATTTATGATTGACTCGGAAAAAATCCATACAACGAACTGCATTGACCCGCAGGCAACACGACGGCGTTTAAGGAGTTCTACTACACAAATGAAACGGTCAATATTCTGGATTCGCCGACGTTTACGGAATGTTCCACTACCGGCTATGACTACGTAACGGAAGACAACGAAACGGTCTTAGCCTGCGAGTTCGGACTCCATAACAGTTTTCAGGTAACTCCTGGTTCCTTCGTTTATAAATGCAGATTCTGTGGAATCAAATTTAACGGATCATTTGTCTAACACTTTACCTTTCGTCTTCAACGTTTTCATACAAATCTATCAGTGGATTCAGTCCAGCACAGTCTCCATTTAATGTTTCACGATTAATTTAAGTTCTGCATCTGTACTTTCTGAACTTGGACCAATTAAACTTTCACACACCTGAGCTTGTACTTAATTAGTTTCTGACTATCATCGTTGACTGAGAACATTATACTTAACTATTTATTTATATATTATTTTCTTATATACCGACATGAATCAGGTAATGGAGCTCGTGGCAGCGTGGGGCCCCTTGATCTACATCGGCTGCTTCGCTGCGACGCTCTCGTCGGCCATCGCGTCCCTGGTGGGGGCGCCGCGGGTGCTGCAGGCCCTCGCCAAGGACCGCCTCTACCCCGGCATCTTCATGTTCAGCAAAGGCTTTGGGGCGAACAACGACCCCGTTAACGGCTACTGCTTGGTCTTTGTCCTCGCCTTCCTCTGCATCATGATCGGTGAGTATCACCGCTAACCATTCGGTTTCTTTCGGTTGCATGACAACAGATAATTTATGCAGTGGTACCTCGAACACTACAAAAGTCCCACTAATAATTAATGTAAGGAATAATTTGTGAAAATTTGTCCTCGAAATTCGATCATAAATGTTTCGAACATCTGTTCTGAACCCGTTACTTCGGTGCTAGCTCTCTCCCGCCCTCATCCGTCACGTCAGAACGAGTAAATTCCTGACTGTAAGAAAGTTTACACTCGGGGTATGCCTATTTTCCACTCTGTGTTCCGCATATAGCACACATAACTACTCTAAGACATGCCGAAGGCACGTACTGATCTCGAATTTATTAAACAACAACACATTATAAAGGTCGCCTGTGCTGCAGAACGAATAACGCTGAAGATGAATCAGCGGCCTCGTTGAATGGGGGAAATCTAAAGGCTGTTGTTTACATACATTAAAGTAAAATAATTATCATTTGGGAGGCTAGATGAAAAATTTATTTGGATTAAAACTTCGCAAATATTCGTCTGCGGAGTGTATTGTGATCGAGAACCGATGTGCCCCTGTTTGAAGCTACTGAGCATAGACGGCTATATAACTTGAAGAATATTGCTGAATGTGTGAACCGTCGTATCTTTAGGTGAGATTCTTCCCGCAGTTAGAGTCTCATTCTTAAGAATATCTATGTCTCAATGTAAAAAGCACAGGATTTTCATAAATTTTACCATTATACTCGAAGACTTTAGCTGTGAGATGCAGTTGCAGGCCATAACAGGTTTCACTAAATTACGTTGACAAAAAATAACATGTAGGGAAATGTACGGAATTTCCGGATGATCAAATAAATTCGCGTTCCAGGGAACTTGAATGCTGTGTCGACCCTGCTGAGTAACTTCTTCCTGGCGTCCTACAGTCTCATCAACTTCTCCTGCTTCCACGCGTCCTTCATCAAAATTGGCCGCTTTACGTCAGGCGTTTCTTTTAGTTTGTCCAGCCCTGTAATTAAATCCCATAGACATTTGTTAAAGGGCCTAAAAACTGCCCTTCTTTGGGAAGCTGTCACGAAATCATTTTTCGACGTAGAGGGATGATTCTGGCACCGTTAGATGCGTCAAAAAGTAAGCTTTAAGATGAGCCCAAAAAGTGGAAAACGCCAAAATTGAAAATTTTAGCCAGGTCGGTCCCCTTAAAGGCCTTGTAACATTTTGACCTATTTTTCAGTACTATAACTTGTGGGTGAGCCTTTTTGGTGGCGTGCTGTGCCTGGTGACGATGTTCCTCATCGACTGGATCACGGCTCTCATCACCTTCCTTGTCACCATCGGCCTCTACTTGTTTGTCTCCTACAGGAAGCCAGGCTAGTAGTAGAAGCGTTCAGTCTATTGTCGGTCTTACGGAGTGTGACTGTGGCGTGATTCTTTCATTTCAAAACCATTTTAGCTTTTAACGGTTAATTAATGATAGTCCCAAAACTCCTAGAAAGTTTAATGACCTCTCGAACCCCAAACCTGCAATTTTATCCCTCAAGTAACTATAGTCAATATTGCCACGTAGTGAAATCAATTCAACACCCAAATAGCAAAATTTTAGAATTTTCAAGTCCTGAATCACCGGGAAATAGCAGTTTAACATTGTTTTTCACAACGACACATCAATTCTAATGATATTCCCATGATATCTCTAATACTTTCATGATCCGTTACGAAATCTTAATTGAATAAAATTGAATATTGTAAAAGTTCAATATGAGTTAGAAGACTTACTGAGCCTTTTATATGCGAATTCATTTTGCAGACGTAAATTATGAGTCAGGAATATTATTAAGCCTTTTAATTGATAAATGCATATTGTAGACGTGAACTGGGGCTCGAGTACACAGTCAGCCTCGTACGTGTCAGCCCTGCGAGCGACGCTGACGCTGCAGACGGTCGTCGACCACGTCAAGAACTACCGACCCCAGATACTCGTGATGTCAGGCAGGCCCAGCAGCAGGCCTCCTCTGCTCGACTTCGCCAACCTCATCACCAAGAATCTCAGCATGATGGTGTGCGTTGAGGTGTCCAAGGTGAGGGACGGTACTTATATGATATACAAATAACATTTGTCCTGTCCTCATAACTCGTGGCTTAAAGCATGAACTTCTCTTATGACACGTAGCTTAAAAACATGAACTTCTCTCGTGACTCGTAGCCTAAGACATATACCGCCCTCATGACTGGTAGCCTAAGACATATACCGCCCTCATGACTGGTAGCCTAAGACATATACCGCCCTCATGACTGGTAGCCTAAGACAGCTACTGCCCTCGTGAGTGGTAGCCTAAAACATCTACCGCCCTCACGACTCGTAGCTGAAAACATCTACTGCCCTCATGACTCGTAGCTTAAAACATCTACCGCCCTCATGACTCGTAGCTTAAAACATCTACCGCCCTCATGACTCGTAGCTTAAAACATCTACTTTAGTTCTAGGCTCTCATGCATGCACTTCCGTCAGCCTCTTCTCAGCTGGAATTATTTCTGCTGATTCTGCAGAAATAATTCTGCATTCAAGTTATAAATCCTACTATGTTCTTCCTCTCAAATGGAAGTGGATAGAAACATGCGGTTGTTAAATAAATGAGCGGGTGCACTTTGCAAATGTGTGCTACAGATGACGTGCATTGCAAAAAAGAATCTCCAACGGCAACGGCGAGAATTAGGGTTCTTTTGATACTTGAAAATGGCGACGTTTTTTGTTACACAACCAGCGTGTAATTATTAGTTTCTGGCATTTGCGTGGTGTGACCATCGCCAATTGAGGGAGACCTGTAATGGTTTCATGGATGTGTTGAATGTGCGTCCGGCATCTCGCAGAAAATCGTGTGATAACTAAACCGGAGAATCTCGGCCTCGCGCAAGCCGGTTTACTGACAAGATCGAGCGAATAAAAAAATTGTTTGAGGGATTCTCGGCTGACTGCGGAAGAGATCGCCTGCAAAGTTGGCATTTCCGTAGGATCTGCGCACACAATCCTGCATGACGGCCAGAAAATGCGAAAAGTTTCCTCCCGGTGGTACCAAGAATGCTGACGGACGACCACAAGCCTCCTCGCGTTGCATGTTGCCAAGCAACGTAGATCCGGTAGGATGGCATGAATGGAAATTACTATTAATCGATGCCCTTTTTTATTCCTGAAACTAAGCTCCAATCGGCTCAATGGCAGCACTCAGACACTCGGATTCCGCAATTTTCCAGTGGTCATAATAGTTTTCCAAGTAAGCGCTCGCAGCGGCCAAGGAATCTTGGCGTCAGTGTTGTGAAAAATGCTTACGGCTACTGGGAAATTACGTCGAGAAATGAGACATGCTTAATTGATTTTTGTTGAGAAGTTAATATTAAAAAGTGAGAGAAGAATAATGTAAGGGTATCACTTGAATACACTTCGTATCCTGAAAGTCATTTTGCTCTATATAAACTACGCACCATTTCATCGGAATGCTAGAATTGAGGTGCATGTCGGCGTATTTCCAGCTGTTCCAACTCATTCGTCACTGCAAATTCCAGCTGTTAAAAGTCATTCATCGCTGCAAATTCTTGTTGGTTCGCTGCAAATTCCAGCTGTTCCAACTCATCGTCGCTGCAAATTCCGGTTATTCTAATACAGTCGTAAAAAATGTATTATAACGTACTCAGCAACGCTTCGGCCTCTTGCTGGAGGACCCTTTTTGTTCGCCTCACTGACTCATGCATGCTGCCAACATCGTCAGTTGTGCTCCCGCTTGTCGCTGCCGTGACCGGTTTGGCTGTGAGGTCACATGAGGTTCGAGCCAAACCAGAAGACAATATATCCGCCTGACCTATAGAGTGGAGGTAGAGGGACAGGTGGCCTAGAGGGACCCTACCCTTTCAGAAAACTTCTCACACTAGGAGCGGAACTATACTGGCGGTTCACCCTCTTGACTGCCATGTTGCTTTGTTACCGTAATTTCTAAATTTTCTGTGTCTGAAAACGTTTCCTTAATCAGACGTAATGCATTATTTGTTCTTAACATGTTTGTGTAATACAACGAACAGGACATGGACTGGAAGACAAGGACGGTCTACATCAACAAGTGCAACGACTGGCTCATTGAGAAGAAATACAAAGCTTTCTACAATCTCGTCAAGGCCGACCGGTTAGACGAAGGAGCCGTTAATCTCTTTCAGGTATGAATGTAGCAGCAGGTGTGCTGTTGTTTGGAGAATAACTGCTTTGAATAACTGCTTAATATATAAATTGCGCACTGAATATAAGAAGCAAGAGATGAGTTTCAATAAATGGGAAAAATTCTTCCGGTATTAAAATTCACACATTTTCTTACGTTCTTATATTATCAAATCAGATTGTCTTGACTTACTTTATTTTGGTAAGAAAATAGATTACAATGAGTGTTTTAGAGTTTTTATCAGCTAACGGTTTTATTGTTTTTATCAATGTAAACTCTGTGCAGCTCGCCGGTTTGGGCAAACTGAAGCCCAACGTGGTCCTCCTCGGGTTCAAGAGCGACTGGAGCGTGTGTGACAAACAGGAATTGAAGGCCTACTTCAATACCCTTCAGTGAGTTCAAGGATTTTGATTATTTCGATCAATTATTATTATCAATAGTTATTCCTTTATGTAATATGGACGTTCTCTAAATTTTACTTTTTCTAAATATTTTTCTTAAATGTGTTTCTCGGTTGTCGTCACGGTAGGCAGTCGGTGTAGCGCATGCAATTAAGCTACCACTTTCGGCGTGGCTTCTAACGTTATACCTCGCAATAGTACTTACTAGAAGCCTGATTAAAATTTTTGTCCATGGTTTCATCTAGATTAATAATGGTAAAAGATTTATAGGAACATATATGGTATAAAAATTCAAATGACGCTTGTTTCCCCCCACCTAAATTTAAGTTCACGTTCCTTGCAACAGTGCTGCGTTCAACATGCAGCTTGGAATTGCCATCTTGCGTTTGAGCAACGGCACGGATTACTCCAACATCATCGCTGACGACGAATCTCCCAAGATCTCAGAAGGAATTGTTAACGAGGGCGCCGACATAGGTAGGTGGCTTATAATCAGGAAATATCGCTAACTTTTTAGCGCATTTTCTCATTTATGGGAAAAATGCCCAATTGTGCTTGTCATGTCCGTCCGTCTGTCCGTGACTTCACGTTTTCGTCGACGAGAAAATGCGCACTCTGTCACTCACTGCAATGGGTACTGAGTTATATTTTTCTAAAATTTAGTCTTCAAACTTTCCGACGATGCAAATATATATATGCAAGCATTCCTTGATTAAGACTGATTTTTTAAGAGAATTCCCATTTATTTCCTTCATTTGATTCCACAAGGAAATTCACCGAAACAATTATTGTACCAACTATTATAGGTTTTAACATTAGAGACGGCGTCACGATATTCAAACGCAAGCAGGGGGAAGTGAGTGCAAAATACACAGATCGGACGATTCGGCTACTCAGGAAATTGGCGTATAAAAAATCAGAATGTAATTGCTAACGATGAATCATGACTTTTTGAAGTACAAACCTATAACAAACAGGAAAATTTATCGTATTCATATAAGAATTTCTTTAGCTCTTTCGATGTTGAAATGTACGAGGTCAACAAAATCAACCTGCAGATTAATTGTGCACAACCATTGCCTAAAAATCAGGATATAAAGAACCACAACCTACTTACAAGTCCCAAAACTGCATGCTGCCATGCGCTTTTCCCAAAATCCTAAATTTTTCTCCTCTGCGAAAGTTCCAGCTCTCCAAAAAGCCGTTCTGGCTAATGTGCAGCAAGATTTTTTGTTCAATACACAGCTGTTTGATCCAGAACTTTACACAACTTTGCATTTTTCGACGAACATAATTTCTTTTGACTTCACGCTCATACCATAACCTGTGTATAAGAGCCACAATTCATTAGCCTACGATTAAACAGCTTTTTCTAAGACTGAAAGAGTAAAGCCACGTTATGACGTTCACAAGAGAGATTAACTGTGAGACAACCTACTATTTAGTTGGAAAACATTTATCATGGAAAATTCAACCAAGTTTTAACATAATGTAATAATGGTATTGCTTACGTAGAATTTTGATAATTCGAAAGTGGTATCTATGGGTAAGCAGAATCAATTGAACACCAAGCATTTTAACTGAACCGTTGACAAGCGATGTTATTAAAATTACCTCTACCCTCACTACAACTCACCATTGCATGGTGGTGGCTGTCCTAAGAATCCTTTACTCTGCTTCCAGGGAACCATTGACGTGTGGTGGCTGTCCTAACAACCCTTTACTCTGCTCTCTGCTTCCAGGCTGTCTCTTATACACATCTAGATGTGTATAAGAGACATCCCAAGATCTCAGAAGGAATTGTTAACGAGGGCGCCGACATAGGTAGGTGGCTTATAATCAGGAAATATCGCTAACTTTTTAGCGCATTTTCTCGTTTAAGGAAAAAATGCCCTATTGTGCTTGTCATGTCCGTCCGTCTATCCGTGACTTCACGTTTTCGTCGACGAGAAATACGCTTTCTGTCTTTCACTGCAATGAGTACTGAGTTATATTTTTATAAAATTTAGTGTTCAAGCTTTCCGACGATGCAAATATATGCAAGCATTTCTTGATTAAGACTGATTTTTTTAAGAGAATTCCCATTTACTTCCTTCATTTGATTCCACAAGGAAATTCAGCGAAACCATTATTGTACCGTCCATTACAGGTTTTTAACATGAGAAGTTTGTTTTGAAACTAATTGGCTCCCACCCACAGAAACCACACCACGAGCCGAGGCCAAGAAGCGCAAGTTCTCATTCTCCGCCGCCTACACCGGACCGGGCGGCGCTAAGCTGCCCAAGGAAATCCTTGACGGCGTCACGATATTCAAACGCAAGCAGGGGGAAGTGAGTGCAAAATACACAGATCGGACGATTTGGCTTCACAGGAAATTAGCGTATAAAAAATCAGAATATAACTGCTAGAGATGAATCATGACTTTTTGAAGTACAAACCTATAAAACCATTGACGTGTGGTGGCTGTCTTAACAACCCTTTACTCTGCTTCCAGGGAACCATTGACGTGTGGTGGCTGTATGACGATGGCGGCCTAACACTCTTGCTTCCATACATCCTGACGACTCGCTCCAATTGGAGCAACTGCAAACTGCGCATCTTTGCCCTCGCCAACCGTCGCGACGAGCTCGACATGGAGCAGCGCAGCATGGCAAACCTCCTCTCCAAGTTCAGGATCGACTACGGCGACGTCATCGTCATCCCTGACGCCATGAGTGGAGTCAGCGACGCGAGTCGCAGAGAATTTCAAGGACTGATAGAGAAATTTAGGACCACCGCCAAATGTGCTGACGATGGTGAGCTTGCATCTCAATAACAATATAGTAATGCATCGTTGTCATCCGTTCCATAATTAATCTGTAGACACAGAGTTCAAAGGAAATTTATGATTTATCTATGGTCTAATGGTTTATTTTCATATAGTTTTCTCTATATGTATTCAAATCCTTCAAAATATGGTGCTAAATATCGTAAAATACGTAATAATCTTGAATTAAAGTCACAGCTCGGCATTTCATTAGCCATTTTGTTATGTATTGAACAGAACAACCAAATATTATGCACGGCAAAACAGATGATTAAGTTTTCAGTAGCTCATTGCCAGGCCCTTTCGTGCCATATATTGGCTGCTAGGGACTCCGCATGTTACACAGGTCCTGAGAAGTTGTTTTCCCGCAGGTTCTCTAACTTATAAGCAAGACATTTTGACAATGATGAAAAATGCATGGAAAAACATTTAAATCCAGTTAATATCAATTAACCAAAATTCTCAATAAATCATTTCTTCATGATACTTAAATTTACGTCGGTGAGGCAAAACTTCATTGATTGGTTAGGTTCATAGGTTCATATCTAACGAGCATGACAATCTTCCATTCCCAGATCGTTACTCATCCTAAAATACCTAGGTTGTTCTATGGATAAGTCCTCCGGTCACGGATCGTACATTAAGAGTGACTTCTAAATTCTATTATAAAACTTGATAGTCATGCTAACGTATTGCAGTTTTTGCCTATTCGTTATATACATAAGCTTGTTCCGTTTTCCAAAGGAGTGTCTATCACCGAGGAGGAGTTGGCCAATCAGAAGGACAAGACCAACCGACACATCAGATTAAAGGAACTGTTGCTGGAGAACTCCTCGACCGCCAGCCTCATCATCATGTGAGTCCTGGCGTTGAATATCCTGAGATACAAGCGAACATTAAATATAAATGAAGAAGGTTGCTACTCCTCCAATTGAAAATTATCAGTAAATAAATGAAGTGGTATTGAATCCCGTGCCTGTGTACGTTGGTTGGAGTATCCCGTGACTGTGTACGTTGGTTGGAGTATCCCGTGACTGTGTACGTTGGTTGGAGTATCCCGTGACTGTGTACGTTGGAGTATTCCGTGACTGTGTACGTTGGTGTATCCCTTGCCTGTGCACGTTTGTGTACCCAGTGACTGTGTAAGTTGCTGTAACCCGTGACTGTGTACGTTGCTGTAACCCGTGACTGTGTACGTTGTTTTGTGTATCCCGTGACTGTGTACGATTCTGTATTCCGTGACTGTGTACGTTGCTGTATCTTGTGACTGGATACGTTGCTGTATCCCGTGACTGTGCATCCCGTGAAAGTTCAAGATAATTACGGAGTGCTCATTGAAGTTCGTGATTCATCGCAGCTCTCTCGCACCATTATAATAAGATTCAAGAAGATTGAGGCCATAAGTTAATGAATCTTGGTTCAAAGACAGCGTAGACTTTTTGCAAGGGGGAGGAAGGCATACGGTTTCTGATACCAGGATTTCAGTACCGTATTCTCCGGGAAATAAACGGTGCGCGATGCACTTCAATGAGATTCAATGACATCTGAGGTCATAAATACTGGATGGCTTCTATTAATAAAAATACATTGTATCTGATTAAAACCAGTTGCTGTGCTCCTACAGAGCAGTAAATGATGGTATTTTAACTTGCTAAACCAGCGTTAAACTAATGGGAATACTGATGTGAGGCCGGGGTTTTCTGAGTTATTTTTTTATATATCTTTGTGACGTAGAGGAAAAGAAACAGAATTTACAGCTTCAAGCTCCTCGCCTAGCCATGGGCACTCGTAAACACTGAATGAAATAATGTTTCTCTCCGTTGCCGAGTGCGCTGCTTATGACAAATCTCAAAATACATTTCCTTATCTTTGAAAGATCATGCAAAACATATATTTGATGTTGTCTTTATTGCAATAATTAATGTAAATTTCGGCCCCTACAGGACGCTGCCCATGCCACGCAAAGGCCAGGTGTCAGCGTCGCTGTACATGGCGTGGCTGGACTACATGAGTAAAGGCATGCCGCCCTTCCTGTTCGTCAGGGGCAACCAGCAGTCTGTGCTTACCTTCTACATGTAGAATTAAAACTGCCGTCTCTTTCTCGTAACCTCGCTACAAGACATCCACTTATCCGGCTGAATAGAACATACTAATGGGGGACGCGCCTAGAAACGCGACAGCAATTTTTCGTCTTGTCCTTACTCTAATTGGACACTTTCTCTAAATTTTCGTACGTGTCTCGCATTATTTTAAGTTTAATATTGCACAATTGTTATCCAAAATTTTTTTTCTGGAGCCAGTAAACAATTATAAAGCTGCATTAGCGTTAAAATTATGACTTGAAATTATACGGAAACAATTTTCATGTTGTTTATAATCATCGTTTATTACTGAAAATAGTTTCATAAACAGGAAAAAATATAGGAGTATAGACCGCAAATTCCTCTTGCAAATTGGAAAATGGAACTTGGGAATCCCTTATTTATTTTTTTTGGCTGAATGAAATTAACATAGTAACTTGAGTTTGATTTCGTTTGGTGAAGGTAATGGCGACAAAATCGATCTTTGGCTTTTCATCCAGGCCACGCCGCTCCCGAACAGTGGACTCTTAACTTGATGTCAATGTGGACTCGGCAACAAATGCAACATGTGGATGTTATCTTAACGTCATCTTGATTACTACCAATATTTATATACTGATGAAGCTGATTTGATATTAATGTTATCAATCTGAATAGATATTATTGATTCTGTACCTACTAATCTGTGTCTCATTATAGGATACAGATTTTTATTTAGAGAATAGCAGGATGGCACCTATTCTATTGTTGTGCTATAATGCCTTTCTTAATATGATTATTTCGAGCGATATCACTAAGGTTCATGTCTCGATGCATGAGCGTCTCTGCGTGTGAATGGCGGGATTAAAGTGGACGTCACTAAAGCCTCTTTATTTGCTGCCACTGATGCTGCACAAAATTGGATCAAGTCGCACACATCGAACATTCACGTTAAATTTACATGTTGGATGAAGACTTACGAAATAGCCTATGGTTACTTTACTCTACTTCTCATGCAATACCGCTTCCTCTCCGAATAAAGCCTCTTCATTTGTTGCCACTGATGCTGCACTTGGATCAAGTCACACACATCGAACATTCATGTTAAACTTACATGGTGGATGAAGACTTGCGAAATAGCCTATGGTTACTTTACTCTACTTCTCATGCAATGCCGCTTCCTCTCCGATCACCCCTAAATCAACAAGCAACAAGATCGAGCAACAGTGTCATCTCGAAAATGTTAATTGTCATGATTTTCCTCAGCCGTGGCGTGGCGTTCTCAGTGCCGGGGACTCATTCGTCCCTTCATATCAGAGAACCTGAACTAATTAAGGCTTGCGTTGATTCTGATTTATATAGTTTCTTTTGTTTTTAACGTCGTTCCACCGCTCATATTCGTCACCAAATGTTGAAGTTCACGAGATAAATAATAATCATTTATTTTTTTTGCGCTCACTCGTTAGGTTAACTACTCGCCTAGGCAATGGGGCATGCGGAACTCCAATCTGGCGCAGCTTGTTTTGTGATTAAGGGCGTCTTAGGCGCCGGTCGAAACAACAGTTTTCCATTCAGGCGTTCTCCTCCATTAGACTTTCGTCTCCCGCACTCATTTTAAAACGGGGAAAAATTTCTGTTTGCGAACTGATTGCTTATATAATGTGATTGTTTTAATGTGCAGTAGCATAGACTTATGAAGTACAGATGACTTCTGATGCCATTTATGAAGGAGTTTATATATGTAAGTTCTTGTTAATTTAATGACGTAGTTTGCAGTTGTTCCAATTTTTATCAAGTAGAATACTGGTTAATGTTTAATGTATTAATTTAGTGCAGAAGTTAAATCAGTTTCGTAGCGAATAGCTTCCTTATTGCACAACCTCAGAACTGTATATCAGCGCGCACGTCACCAGAAAATGTTCGTTACAATGAAGCTGTAATAGTATAGCTGAATCTAAATATAATAAATAATTAATTTGAATGGTAGTTCAATATCAATGGTAGACAGAAGTTCTTGCTAGGACATAAGTGGATTCTCGGCGCTGCATCTCTGCTGCCATGAAGCAGGTGCTACCTCCCAATAATGATGATGTCTTTACAATGTCAAGAATAGATTATGTAGTTTGTCCGACGCGGCGAATGAGGAGCAAGTTTCTGTTGTTAATTCGACGTTTTTTGGCAGCAATTGTTGTCCGCCTGTTGGAAACATCGCTATGCGATCGGAGCTTCAGGTGAAAGTTTTTACATGTGCGACGGTTCGATGCGGTTTTGTATTAATTTTTTTTTGTGCGCAAAGGTGTACAATTTATTGCATTCAACATTTCAAATGTGTTCACTTTCTACTAAAGATCAGTTATCAGTGTTATGTGCTGTAAATGTATTATTTTAATTAATTACCTCAAGTGCGAGGGCTTGATCATGTATTTATGCAAGTTCATGGCTAAGAAATTAAATGAACTTTTTAAGGCATGCTCATAATCTGCCATAAATAGTCGTGTGATTGGGTATTACTTCAAGAAGATATTATGATGAGTGAGATTTTATTGTGAAGCTGGTTGATGATCCTTATGATCTTATGTGGGAGACTAAGTCCTGTAATATATTTTCTGTGAATTTTTCATATTTTCAAATCCTTGAACTTCTGGTCCTAACTTTTACCTTGCCATATAAATTGATAGTGGTAGGCGGTGAAGTGCATGTTAAATCTTTTCAATTAGAACAAAAATTTTACTGATAATTGACAAGCTGTAATGTCTCACGAGTGTTAATGGCCACAAAATTGTTCGAACTCAATCAGAAGGTGGAGAATTTTTCGTTTTACTTCATAATAGCAAAACGCATGTTCCTGAGATGAATTATACCAGAGATTGTAGGAGAGAGAAAAAAGTTTAGAAAACAATCATGTTCCTTCTACAAGCGGCATACCTGAAATTAATTTCTGTTATCTATCAAACTAAAGTCCCCATTATGGATGAATATGTAAATGTTTTATAGTGCATCACTCAGTAACTGAAGAACAGTCAGCGCATCCAAGTCATAGGTTCCATATGCAAGGTTAACCCACGAGGATTTTTGTGTTCAGTTCTGCTTTCTTGTTACGTCACTGAGATTGAGTAACGTAAACAATCCCGTCATTCCCATGACGGATTGGTTGAATGGTTCGATCGCATTTCGGTGAATGGTTAATGCCCGTTACGTCACTGAGAATTGAGATCAGTGACGTCATAGGAGACTAACAAACTAAATCCGCAAAAATGAATCAACCATGGTGTGTTCTGTAAAACATGGTGTTGGGGGCAACGGATGTAAACACACCGTCCGACAGTTTCAACAACAGCCTGTGATGAGGGTATGGACGTATGGTTACGCGGTACGCTGCGGTAAAAGTTGGACGTATCGAACAATGAGCTAATAATATTAACAAAACTTTGTCAAGGATTTTTTGTTTTGTATTTTATAATATTGGCCACATTTAGGGCTCTAAAACCTAATCTTGGCATTAAAATTCTTAAACTTGGCTTAATAGATTGAGACTCTGGCTTGGCCTGGAGTCGGCCATACTGCCATTATTATAGTGCCATGCCCATAGATGCCCAGAGTAGGTATGTGCATGAAAAAAAATTATTTTCTATGATCATAAAGAAACTTATACATCTGAAATGAAAAAAATGTAATATAAATTTTAAGTGGAGTTCAAATAAAAGTGAAAAAGCTATATGTTATTTCCTTTTAGGCTATATTTATGTTTATTCAATTTTTCAAGCAGGTTTCATTGAAGACCAGAGAATTTGTTTTATTCACAATTTTCTTATTAGTTTTTTCAATATATCGAACAATATTTTTAGTTTGAACTGGCAAATCGAAAATCAGGTTACCGATGGACATTTTTATTTCGTTAACGACGTTTCGAATGTTTCTATCATTCATTATCAAGTTAAAAGGCGCATTGAGTGATGAAATTAGCGTCGACATAAGTACAAAATCAAGTAAATAGGATACTACTCAAAAATCAAAATTGTTAGGAATAATTACAAAATCACAAAATAATTTAGAATCAAAGCACCGAAAATTACTCCGAAAACAGTCTCAAGGTTCTGACAAATCCAGTAGTTTGAAGGTTGATGGCTGGGGTCCTATCCTTAATGATGAGGGCCTCAGCTATCATGAGTCGGTTGGCGTCGGGGCATCTCATGACGACGCTGGTGCATTCTTCCAGCACCGTACGAGTGATGGTCTCGTTGTGGGCTTCCATCAGGTGGTTCTTTGGTCCACCAGACTGAAGGTGGCACGTGAGACGTCGGCTTAATGTCGTAGTTGTGAGCCCGATGTAGTCCATATTGGGGAGAAGTCTGAAACCTGTCTCTTATACACATCTAGATGTGTATAAGAGACAGGTTGTAGACTTCTCCCCAATATGGACTACATCGGGCTCACAACTACGACATTAAGCCGACGTCTCACGTGCCACCTTCAGTCTGGTGGACCAAAGAACCACCTGATGGAAGCCCACAACGAGACCATCACTCGTACGGTGCTGGAAGAATGCACCAGCGTCGTCATGAGATGCCCCGACGCCAACCGACTCATGATAGCTGAGGCCCTCATCATTAAGGATAGGACCCCAGCCATCAACCTTCAAACTACTGGATTTGTCAGAACCTTGAGACTGTTTTTGGAGTAATTTTCGGTACTTTGATTCTAAATTATTTTGTGATTTTGTAATTATTCCTAACAATTTTGATTTTTGAGTAGTATCCTACTTAATTGATTTTGTACTTATGTCAACGCTAATTTCATCACTCAATGCGCCTTTTAACTTGATAATGAATGATAGAAACATTCGAAACGTCATTAACGAAATAAAAATGTCCATCGGTAACCTAATTTTCGATTTGCCAGTTCAAACTAAAAATATTGTTCGATATAGTGAAAAAACTAATAAGAAAATTGCGAATAAAACAAATTCTCTGGTCTTCAATGAAACCTGCTTGAAAGAAGAAATTCTGCCAACCTATACTAGTTTATTCAATTAGGTACCTATGTCCCAAGGCCAAGGCCAAATATGGATATGGGGCCATGGGCCAATGTTTTTTGGCTCTTTTTTTTAGGAAAAACTATCATTTCTGAGTTTCCTATGAGCATATTTTAAAGATTTTAGTATCACTAGAAAACTTGTATTGTAGGCTATCTGCTATCTTAGTCATCTAGGCCTATTCTAACTTAGACTAACTAGAGTAAAACATTTTGGTTAAAATTTTGCCTGCAGCCTGCAGGTGTGAGCCTGTGAGGTCAGTGGGTGAAACGTTTTTGCGTTTGACAATTTGACTGATAGATATGAATGGTATAAATTCACCAAAAGTCAGAATTGACTAGAATAAATTACATTTTGTTAAATGGATGGTAAATAAAAAAATAAAAATAAATACTAAGTAAATAAAAATAAATGATAAATAACAAAGCACTAAATAAATGATAATTAAATAATAATACTTATATGTTAATAATAATAAATTGATAATACTAGTACAAGTAGACGGCATTGTAGTATTGTATCAATCCCAGCATGCCTTTTAACCCTTTAGCCTTTTAACCAGGTATTGTTAGTTTGAACATCAAGGTTCCAATGAGATCTTTTCCTTCCAAGATTCTCTTTGCAGTGACACCAGATGTCCTGCAGAACAGAGGTCAGTGGCTCAGAGCTTCAGTGATTTCACTTCACTGCCAAATCATTGGCAAATGGGCCAATAACTCCTGCTGTTCAGCTGTTGTAGACTTGTAGTATGACTAGCAGAAAGTCTATATTTAACTTTCCACATCCCTAGCTTTTTTACTTAGAGCAGATGTGAGATATCCTGTGATGTTTTCATGTTTAGAACTAGCAAATTACAGGCTTTGTTCTTTGACATGCTAGAGATGTCAAATTTTCCAAATGCAGAGTTGGCCAAAACTGTGCTGAGAGCAAGGTCATTAGAAAGGAACTACTTAGATCAATTTGACCAGGGGCAGTTTGTCAGTCTCCACCATCCAGGAGTGAGACAGGCTCAATCTTCAAAATGACACAGTTTTGTGGACTCTTCAGTTACTCAACATTGTTTCTTTGTCCTGCTGTAATTACTATGTCAGAATCAAAGGGCAAGGGCCTAAAGAGCATTAAAAATTGTGAATATCAGAATTAGTTGTAGATAGAACTGGGCATCATGGAAAGAACTTCTATAAGGTATCAGAGGCAGAGGGGCTAAAGTGAGGAGGCAGGTTCAGGTTGTGTTGAAGTGCTGCACTCTGTATTATGGGAGGTGGATGTGAAAGAGATAGGTAGAATTCCATTGGGATCAAAAGAGGTAAGTTATGTATTTTCATGGCTGGAGCAAATGTTTCCATCCAAATCTTAGTGATTGGAGGCTAAATTTTGCCTAAACCGTTTGTTTTTGCCCATTGTGTACGGCACTGAAAGCTGACATGGGGCAACTGCTCTTCAACTGATTACGGAAAAATATAAAAGTAATGATAAATATAAATAATGCAGAGAAATAATTACAATTTGCAGTAATCTTGGAATAAAAGATGGAGAAAAGTAAGTCAGCTGACTTTCCTTTGTTGAAGTTTGTCTTCTGCGTGCTCAGCTTAGAAGGTTTAGCAGGTTAAGCAACAACTGCATCTACAGTCCAGATCATCTACACTGAAGCATTGCTAATTTTCTTGAATTGAGGGGTTCAGATTAAATCTAAATTGTAATGATTTCAAAACACTAATGCTACGCGTAACTGCTTAAGCAGAGCATTTTACTGGTGATTAAACATCCCATTGCCATTCAATTTGAAAAACAAAAGGGGTAAAAATGCAAGAAAAATTGCCACCATAGGGCCACAAGCATGTGAAACCATTTGTTCATTTCCATAGTTATTGGTTAAGAGTTGAGTGAATAAAGCATTTCCGAGTGGCTGAAATTGCCCATTTGTACCTGTTTTACCATTTTATTTGCAAAAAAGGTGGAGTAAACTGTAAAAAAATTGTTGCTGATGCACCATAGCTTGCATTTACAACAATATATTTTATTCCATAGATATTACTATGTTTTTAAGTTACACTAACTAAGTGACTAAATTATCAATTTTTTTCAGCAAAAAAATATTTTTGATAAATCATTTAATTTGTAGTATGGCTGCCAGGTCAGTTGAGCCTGCACAAAAGCAATTCAAAATAATTTTTAGGAAACAGAAATATGGTATGGCTGCATCAAGCTATCATATTTTACTTGAGAAATGCAAATCAAAATTTGATATAAAGGTTAGTATGTCAGCAGCTATTACAAATATTTTCTAAGATTAAATAGCTTCATTTGGGTGGATTTCTGACGTTTATGTCATAATTAACACTTATGCGGCTACCCTGGTACTGCACTTGATTTGCAATCCATTGCTAAAAAGATTATATATCTACCGTAGGTATAGGTAGTAGGTACAAGTCTTTAAAATTATGTCATGGCTATGAAAATGCCATCAAGAAATTGGTGTTAAATTTTGTTGATAAATCATGCATAATTTTTCTTGGGGGAATTGCCAAATAAGAGCAGTGACAAATATTTGTCAATGTTGATAATTTTGTGATTCAGTTAAATAAACTTTGAGTGTATTGTGTTTTATACAGATACTGAATGACAGTAAATGCAGTTGGTCTAATCTACAAGTGTTGAAAATTGTCAAATATCCCCCTGAAATGAATACCTATACAAAATCATATAAAAATCATTACAAAAAATTTGTTATTTCCGCTTACAGAAGGAGTGCAAGTTGACTCTTTGCTATGAAGATCATACAGAAATTGATGAGGATTTTTTCCCTCTCATTAATGAAGGAGAGACCCTCATACTTCATACAACAGACAATCGGGAGCCCCTCATTGAATCAGTTATGAAGAAGCTAGAAGAGTTCATTAGAGAGTGTCTCAATTGTGAACCCAATATCAGTGAGCAACTCCAGACTCTTATTTCTATGGGAAAAGTGGACAATTTTCAAGATTTTGTTGCTTCACTGCCTGTTGTCTCAGCAGAAGCAAAGCTGAGCAACCGGAATGAACATCCTGACTGGTTTGAAGGTACTTGTTATTTTAATTAAAAATGTTTCATCTATTTGTAAGCATTTAAATCTAAATCCTATAATTATGCATACAAAGTTCCTATAGAATATCAAATTAAATGGTTACATACTACAAATATGTCTTACAGGAATAAGCAGCAGACATCAGAGTAAGGAAGGTGTCATGCGAGGCAGTGCTGAGTGCAGGATGAGAAGCTACATGCAGAGCCTACAGAAGGAGTTGCGACTAATGTTGCAAGTGCAGGTGGATCATATGATATCCAAGATAATACAAAATCCAGGATCATACAAAATCAATTCGCTAAATTATATTGAGTTCAGTTGAAGTGAGTTGTGCAAATTGTAAATTTTCTCTATCTAAAATTTATTGACAAACAAGTTGCTTGCATTTCTAAATGTTTTTTTATTCTGTTGTTTCTACAATTATTTAATTTATTCAGCACATATAAAAAGTGCGCCTCACTACGTATGCCCTTTTCATGGAAGACCATTGATGTATTGTCTATGTTTAAAAAGACAAATTTGAATAGAACATTATCAAACCAAACTTCATTTGCTTAGCAATATTTTACACATGGGTGATACTTTAGCTGGATATAATATTTTGCTCGAGAATTTAAAGAGTTAGTCTTCAAATATCAAAATAAATTTATTTTCCAGCTTATTTTTAATTTTTATTATTCATTTGTTTTTGTTTCTACTTTTGTTACACAAAATTAAAATTTTAATTGTTAAATTTCTGCAAGCTTTACTGCTGCTGCATAACATTTATTCAAATATACTTGATTTTTGAAATGTGCAAATAATTTGCTTATACTTCCATGCATAAATTCTGGCAGCTGCTTTGGTAATTTCTCTGCAAATTTGTTTTGTGCAATTAATAGAATGAGCAAAAATTATGATTACTTTGTTTGTGAATATTTTTGTTCTGGTGTCCATAAAGGCAATGTTTCAATTGCCATAATTTTGAATTCAAAGGCCCGCAGGCGCAATGAAGTCTCTCTGCCTCGCAACGTTGAGGAGGCCATCCGTTACTTCAGCACTCGTCTCAAGGCCTGCAAGTGGGTGCATTTATCAATAGATTTTCTATATTGTTGTTGATGATATTTAGCATAATCATCTTTTATCTGCAATAATTCCTCTTATGCACTGAATCGGATCAAATCGCATTTCCTTTCCCACAAAAGGTGAAATGTTTTCCTTAGTATCCTTAGTATTTGTTTGGGACACAGCAGTCCCAGGCCACGATGGATCGCCGCCTCTGATTATCGTCCATCCGCCCTCATTTGGGCCATCTGATGCACGATGCTGTTGCTTGCTTCTCGCCGCTGGTAGTGTTGCAGGGGAGGTCGATCTGGGATTGTGCTCAGGAACACGTCTAGCTGTCTCTTGAAGGTCTCCAGGGTGAACTCCCCCTCTCATTGATTTTCAGTGTGTATTGCGTTCCTATTTTCACTAATTTAAATTATTTTGCTGCATTTATTTGCTGATTTTTTTCTACATTTTAAAGCCCAATTTTATAATTTTCCTTATATTTAGGAGTCACCTCTTTAGTGTGTTGCAATAGAACAAGTAGCCGAGAACAGACACTTAACTGTAATACCTGTACTTTGAAAATACACACTTAATTACTTATTTTTTTTTGTGTGGCAGGTACAACGCGCATTACTTTGATCGCTCGCACGCCATGTCTTGTTGCCGCATGTGCAACGCTGACGGTGCCTTCTTGTGTGGCGGTGCCTACAACAAACACCAGTGCAGTGATCACCACACCATCAACCCTTACGCCACTCGTCACCACCGCGTCGTCTTCTCCACGTGGAACTTGGACCACATGTCAGCTTGACATCCGGCCATGATCTGCCATCGTGCTGACATGACGAGAGAACAAAATTAGTTAGCGAGCTCATATCTTTAATGTTGCTCAGGGCCCATACTTTCAAAAAAAGTTAAGAGATGTAAGTTCATCCGCCAATCATTGAGGGCCTTCCAAGCAAAATCCACCAATCATAGACAAGAAAACAGAGCGTAAGAACTTACGTTTACTTAGCGAGTTTTGAAAGAATGACCCCAGCTCGTGTGGAGCCTGGGATCACTGATACCATCCTACTGGTGCTTCTGATACCATCCTGCTGGTACCTCTGATACCATCCTGCTGGTACCTCTGATACCATCCTGCTGGTACCTCTGATACCATCCTGCTGGTACTGGGACGTTAGTGTGCTGTAGAATATCTGTGCTACCAGCTATTTTGTGTTTTGCCACCTCGCAATAATAATTGATTATACAATTATTAATTCAATCAATCAATAATTGATTGATTGATGATTGACCTGCCGCGACAGGTTAGCTTACTGCTCATGCCATGCATGCTCATAAGCACCCCTAGGTCAAGCGGCTAGGATGAACTTAAGTTTAAATTGCATGAATTTCATTTTATTAATCATGATTTGTCGCTGACTCGTAGCGTGGTAAATAGTTTTTTAACATATAAGGAAAAGAACAATGTTCTGCATTATCTTTTACTCTTGTCAATACTCTGGTGCGATCGCCCACTCGCCACGCCAGTTCGTCTTATGAGCCTTGATTTAAATTTTGATGTCTGAGACTTTTGCGCGTAATAAAACTATTGTTCATCTTCAGAGGTCACTTACTGCTTGCAGTGCCGTCAAAATTATTAATTGGGTGATTTTTCTTTGTTTTTGGTTGTATTGAATTATTGTTCCTTTAAGCAGGTTTCATTGAAGACCAGAGACTTTGTTTCATTGGCAATTTTCTTATTAGTTTTTTGCAATATATCAAACAATATTTTTCGTTTGCACTGGTAAATCGGAAATCAGGTTACCGATGACATTTTTAATTTGTTAATAAGGTTCGAATGTATCAATCATTCATTATCAAGTCACAAGACGCATTGAGTGGTGAAATTTGGCTCATCATAAGTACAAAATCATGTAAATAGGATACTTCTCAAAAATCACTATTTGAACAAAAATAATTACCAAATTACAGAAATATGAAGATGAGCGAGAATTTAATGCACCAAAAATTACTCCTAAAACAGTCTCAAGGTTCTGACAAATCCAGTAGTTTGAAGGTTGATGGCTGGGGTCCTATCCTTAATGATGAGGGCCTCAGCTATCATGAGTCGGTTGGCGTCGGGGCATCTCATGACGACGCTGGTGCATTCTTCCAGCACCGTACGAGTGATGGTCTCGTTGTGGGCCTCCATCAGGTGGTTCTTTGGTCCAATAGACTGAAGGTGGCTCGTGAGACGTCGGCTTAATGTCGTAGTTGTGATCCCGATGTAGTCCATATTGGGGAGAAGTCTACAACCTTCTCTATTGCAGAAAAACTTATAGACTACATTGGTCTCTTGGACTGAATTGAAAATCTAGTACTTTCAGATAAAGAGATCAAACCCGAATTGTATTGCTGGTATGTCGATATCATCGTTGTCGTTCGAGATGAAGAACAACTGAGGAATCTACGAATGGCTTTTGAAACGAATTCCGACTTGAAAATTACTTACGAACTCGGACAAAATCGTACCTTGCCTTTTTTTTATCTATATGTCCAAGCAAAAATAATTCGTAATATAAATAAAATAAATAATCGTGCTACGAAAGAAGCACAATACGTGCTTTCATCTAACTAGCTTTAAAACCTGCTCATCTGAAAATGACTGAGAAATTGTAAAAAAATCTTGGTCAATGCCAAAATGGTTAGCCAATAAAACCATCGACACAGAAATCTCAAAACTTCGAGTGTACCGAAACAGACTCAACAACGAGCCAGAGACTGACGCAAACGTCACAACCATCTACTATGAGAACCAAATGACCAGCGGTTATAAAGCAGATGAACGGATCCTTCAATCCATCGTTCACAACAACATCGTGAACGGAACTAATAATAAAATTAAACTACAGATCTATTATAAAAACAAGAAAATATAAAATCTTATAATGAACAATAACCCCTACAAAAAACGGGAGTTTTCCAAGAGACCAATGTAGTCTATAAATTTTCCTGCAATAGAGAATGTTGTAAATTTCTCCCTAACATGGACTACATCGGACTCACAACCACGACATTAAGCCGACGTCTCACGTGCTACCTTCAGTCTGGTGGACCATGGAACCACATGATGGAAGCCCACAACGAGACCCCTACCCGTACGGTGCTGGAAGAATGCACCAGCGTCGTCATGAGATGCCCCGACGCCAACAGACTCGCGATAGCTGAGGCCCTCATCATTAAGGATAGGACCCCAGCCATCAACCTACAAGCTACTGGATTTGTCAGAACCTTGAGTCTGTTTCCGGGTTAATTTTTGGTGCTTTAATTCTTGATCATCTTATTTTCCTGATATTGTACTTATGTCGATCTAAATTTCATCACTCAATGCTTCTTGTAACTTGATAATGAATGATTGATAGATCCGAAACGTTGTTAACAAATTGAAAATGTCAATCGGTAATCTGATTTTCGATTTACCAGTGCAAACGAAAAATATTGTTCGATAAATTTAAAAAACTAATATGAAAATTGTCAATAAAACGAATTCTCTATTCGTCAATGAAACCTGCTTAAAGGAACAAATTAGAAGAGACAGAAAATGGATCTAGACAATTCTAATGGACAATCTATACATGAAGTTTCATTCATTTGCGCAGAAAACCCAGCCAATGCAAAGGAAGTTCCGGGTATTCAAGAATTAATATCAGAAAATCAAGTAAGTTCGAAAAACATGGAAGGCTCTTGTGATCAAAAGAATAAAAATGGCAAATCTGCCGATGAATTACCAAGCGCTGATGAAGTAGAGGGTAATGTGTGTCGGAGTAATAAGAGGAAGGATCTCCGAGATGATAAACTTGAAACCATTAGCAATCGCAATGAAGAGATCAGCGTTGCAACCAAGCAAGAATCCAAGCGCCAAACTCGTGCGGCCTTCAGGACAAAGAACAAAGGTTCCAAAATACCAACCGTATCATACGTCCGAGAAACAAAACAAGCTAAGGACGCCTCATCAAGCTGCCCTCCCTCGGGACGGTCCTCGGGTTGTCTTGATCGTTGCGAGGGACACAAGCCGGGGACGGGGAACCTGAAGCTCGTGCACATCGCCTGCCACGTGAAGCTGCCCCACAACCTCGCGTGTGACCCGCGCCGCGTGTATCGCTAGCGATGTCATCAGCAACCGATGCTTATTGACAGATTACTCACCTGCTTAATCATAATTCACTGGTACCTTTAACATGACTTTTATCCTATGATAAATTTTTTTAATATAGTTCTATTGATAATTTAACCATGTGACAAATTCATGTTTTTGTACACCTTGATTTCTTATTATATTTGTACAAAATCATTCACACGTTTGAAAGCTTACTAGCTTTCTTGAATCTCAATGTGTCAATGTGATTTAATTTCGGATTACTAGTGCAGCAGTTCAGGTACCTTGGATTAGATCAAATTATTATTCACATTCTAAAGTTATACCAATTTGACTGGTTTGGTGCTCGCTCGTTCAGAACCGAACCTAACAAGCATCAAGTCACAATTGATGTCCTCAGTACAATGTGTGTAGACATTTGAGTGCGTGAGAAGAAGTTCATGCGCAACCTTGTATTACCAGGCAACTCTGCACGTGTATCGCTCACTACTCGCCGAATATTTATGAATTTTGCTGTAACGAATGCCACTCTGCGGGGACGGTTAATTTTGCAATGAAGACAAATTATAAATTTTATAATATATTTACTGAAGATTAAGATGATTTATAACTGATCTTATCGTTAACAGATCTCAATAATTTGCAATTTAGCCACAAGATTTTGTGTTTTGCGTCGCGTGAACCGCGAAAAGTTGTGTGATCACCAAGAATTATTTTTAATCTATTTATATATATGATAAAATTTATAAGATTTATACTATATCAAATTGATGTTTTCTTTATTCGTGAGATGTTAATTAGTAAATCAACATGTTGATATATATTTCCATGTGATATATATTTTCTATATTTTTTTACAAATGGAGTCAAAATTTTAGCGGAGCGCACCAAAGAATTTCACATAGAATACTGATGAGTTTGAGCTGATCAAATTATAAGAGTTAAGGCGAAATTGCTTGAAATTATTTAGACTTGGAAACTGAATAGAGTGAAGCGTGAAGACGTGCGCATCATTGAACTAATGTCGGATACTTGAACGATTACGCGCCTCCGCTTGAATTAGGAAATTGAAACCAAATTTACTCGTCAATTTATTGCTATAAAAATATTTGCTCGCCGATCCTTTGCTTTAACTTTACTTCATGCAGAACAATTCACGTTTAGGACTTCAAGACATTAATAGAACCACCGATACCTCCAGCAGCTCCTGATACCATCACTACCAGCAGCTACCACCACCACCACCAGCTGCAATGTATCTACCATCATAATAACTTGGAGCGCCATAGGAATGGTCAGTGCATTTCTAAACATTTATTTGCCCACGAACAAAGCTTACAAAACTCGGCAACGCGCGAGGTACAGAAATTGAGCAAATGGATCTCATCGTATAAGTGTATCACTGCCCTAATTTAGTTTATCAGAAAGAAGTGATATAAGGAGGGAAAAAATGAATTTTGACTGCACCTCCAGTCCAATGAAATGACATCGTTGCTTCCACGGCAACTTGGACGGAAGAAGACATTCATGGAACTGCCATGAAGTGAACAACGAAAGAATAAAGTTCGTATAAACTATTACATGGAACCAACGAGCGTCTTTTGTCATGCCAATAAAAACTCAAGTTTGCGCTTTACATTTGTGTGCGATTGAAAGAAGCATGAGGCCCACACGTGTTGAAACGCTCAAGGTGAGGTCTGTCAAAAACGTGCATCATATCAAATCAACAGATGGTCAATCTAGGAGAGACATTTGGGCCAACAAAGTTACAATTTTCAAGCCACAGTCGATTAATTATTAATAGGCTTTTAAATTGCTCTCATCATATATCTCAATGAGCCGGTTATGCATTATGAACGAGGTTAACGACGATGCGAGTGTCAGCAATGTGGATTGCAGTGGCGGCGGCGGCGCTTATCTCTAAAGTCTTAAACTTGTCAGATTATTATAAGTATTATTGATTTCTTCTTTAACAATTAATATTACCATAAATGGTGAGCTCGCTTAAGGAAGCACATGGACGTATCCTAAGGGAGGACTCTCCTTATGGAGGCCTATGGAGAAAATCACGCAATAAATCTAATACAAACGTACACAGTGCACAGAGAAACGCTTGGACGGAGGCAAAGAACGCCGGTTAATTTTAAGACATTAAAGAAATTACCGTGACACAAGTCAGCTCGTACAAGTCTCGCAGTACAAAGATTTTTGAAGAGTTTGTGTAAATTTCTAACACAAAATTTGAAGCAGAGAACAACCGCCAATAATACTGCTCAAATAATAGCTTCTTCGCATATAACCCAAAATTATTTGGACTAAATTTTGATGAGATTTCACACGAAATCTGTTGTACTTGAAACTTATTTAATGATTAACATCATCAGTGCTATAACAGTAATCTAGAATATCAAGCGAATCGTATTCAACAAATAACACGTCCTTTAAAATTATGGCTTATCTTAGAACAAAATTGTTTCCTCTCAAGTTATAACACGTGAATTTCTTATGCATATCTGAATAAAATCTAAACTGAATGTTCCGACAGCCGCTATGGGGAAATTTAGCGATTAAGAAAAAATTATATGAACAGTTTATCTCAAACAAAAAAATTTTTGATGAATATTGAGGACACTCGATTGAGTGATGAACCTGAACAGTTTCACAGAAATGTATTATTAGTTCGTCTAAAATTTCTTATAGATAATTGATATTTTGGAATGTGATCGATGTATTCTAGCGATGAGAATTGGAAGAATTAGACTAAACGCTCGACCAGTTTCAGTGCTTCTTATCATTAACAAATTGTCTCTAGTGTCGTATTATAACGCACAAAACAATCAAGATGGACACACTGCATTAATGTAACGGTACAGTATAAAAATATCTTCATGAACACATGTCACACCACCTTATCAATATATTAAGCAGCCTGATCATATAAAACTTTTAATATCTGGAGCACCGCCTCTGATGTGAGACTCCGCTGGCCTCTACAGGCTGCACGGCGCTCGGGTGGAGGCATGTCATTGTCTTTGTAAAAATATGTCCAGTTCCACACAAAGGATTTTCATGTCCTAAGTACATTGGTACAGTTGAAGGCAGGCGGTAAGGCGAGCCTTCCTGTACGCTGGTACTGTTGAAGGCAGGCGGTAAGGCGAGCCTTCCTGTACGCTGGTACTGTTGAAGGCAGGCGGTAAGGCGAGCGAGCGGACATGACGTGCAGCGCAGCAAGAACTTTATCAACATCAAGGCGGCAGTACAGAGTTTAATTATTGTCAGTCAGTTCTTAAAGTCATAGAAAACAATATTTTTTATTACGCCACTGATCCCAAATTCCTCATCCCGACAAGAGCAGCTATCACCCCACGGAGGAGCCTCCTGGAGTGAACGCTGCCGCGTTGGGCGATTATGCGGCGATGAACAAGAAATTATTTGGACGACCTTTAATTGTGTTGTGAAAACTAAAAGAATAATCAAGCAACACGCGACATAAGGGCATGTGCAAATCACACTCAACACCGTGTAGCGGCAACAAGCCGATATAATACAAAGGATGACGAAGGAATACGGAGGAAAGACAATGGAATTCGAAGGTCAGAAAACTAAAGGCAAGTTTGTACTGCAACGGCCACATTGCAGTAAACCAGAGATTGCGTTACTTTCGAACACTAATTTATTTTTCGGAAAAGCGAAGCATTCTACCCAAACGCTCGGTGGAAAAAAAAACAACATTTGGAAATTCAACAAAAACGAACAAAGTCCCAATCTCCCTCAACAATAGAAGACGTTTGCCCACTTAAAACAAAGTAGCTCATGGCTGCTGGCTTTGCGATGTTACAAAAAAGTTACTCTGAATTAACAAATTGAGATTAACAAGTGAAAGATACGTGAAATTCTAATACTCGTGTATTTATTTGAGTGAGATTCATGTTTAACATGTGTCGATATTACCGGGAATGACGAGAATTCATCAACAGCTTCATTAATCCACCAATCTATAATTCCAGTAAAAGTCAACGTGAAATTCCAAACCTCAGGGGTACGCGTGGATATTCACGTGTGCTTTATATAAGACGTACGTTTAGATCAAATCTACGAATGGAAGTTCAAAGAAATCGATCGATTGAGATTCTATGAATATTTTATAAGATAGAGTTCAACATGAACTGCTATAGCCGCCGCCATGTTCAACATGAGCTGCTATAATAGCCGCCATGTTCAACATGAGCTGCTATAATCGCCGCCATGTTCACTTGCTACAATCGTCGGAAGAGGAAGAACTGGAAGAAGCTTGTCGCTGAACATGAAATTTGAATCATCAAAATTTCCTTCAAAATCTCATGTATGGAATAAGCTTAAACACCATGGAAATAGGCACTTAAAAAGCCACAATCTTGAAATAAAGTACATCGTTGGTTATCTAAAAATTTGCTTTTTTAAAGCAAAATAGTTTCTTTCACGTCATTTTTAAACAACGAAATAAGAGTTTCGGTGCAAAACCGTCAAAGTAAATAAATGTCGAATAGGGAAACCAATACTTGATTACGTAATAAAAAGTATGATGACATTATGATGTGCATCGCTTGCTCATTGATACACCACGCACAACAACGGACGCACGCCGCGGGCAGGCGATGGCAAGGCCATGCTCGAGCGGCCGAGAAGGTTACGTTGAGCTCGGACCCGGCAGCGGCTACCAGAGTGTCAGTAAAAAGATGAACCGGTCGCGTGAACCGTTTTAAAGGTTTTAAATATGTGAACTAGATGCAGGTAGGCTTATCTGCTTCTTGAATAAGGTAGGCGGTGTCTAGTTACTAAATTACGAAAGTAGATAGCCGGATCGTCGCAAGGGTTCGAGGCTTTATAAGTAGGTTGGTGGGAGCTGCGACGAGTTGCTCTGCTGGAAATTAAAGGTACAGAATACCTTTTTATTTACCACGAATGAAGGCACGAACGCGCACTTTAATCCTATCAGCTACGGAATATACACATCATGAAGGCAGAACATGGATAAACAATTGGGCTACATGGCTTTAAATCATTTCGAAATAAAAAATTAATAACGCGGCGAATAGAATAACGATATTAGAAGCTAATTAGTAGACGTAAACGTGGAACAGATCAAACAGTCTTTACAGCGGAAAGAGTCAATTAGCAAGACACGTTGGAAAAGCAAACTGCCTTAAAGAGAAGATGCTTCATCTCTCACAAAGGCGCTACTCCAGAGAGATAAGAGCTGTACGAAAACCCGGTAGCGATACAGGAGGAAACAAGCAATGGACATCGGGACCGAACATTAGCACGCGCATCTCATGACTGTGGAATTAAGAAATGAGATTTTCTGGCTGGAAAACGCGCGAGTTCTAGGAGTAGAAGGTAAGCACGGACTGCTGGTTGCCCCTGACGAAGAGGAAGGGCGGCATGCCCTTGGTGATGTAGTCCAGCCACGCCATGTACAGCGACGCTGACACGTGGCCCTTCCGCGGCATGGGCAGCGTCCTGTGGGTGCCAACATGCCAAGTTATTTAATTCGTTGAGAACCGCATAAACATTTCAGTTTTATGTTCTAATACGGAGAACAGAATGCGGCGCTTACATGCTATTGACTTTATAATTCATGGCAGCGGAAAATAAATGACTTCCCTAAACAATGAAAATGTTCCTGAGAGCCAAAATCTATAGTTTAATTCTGAAGGTCAGTCACGAGTCAATAACGGAAATAAAAGCAATTCTTGTGCTGCACGCAAATGAAGAATGGCTAACACTTCTCCCTGTTACTGATTTAAGTATGCAGATCCTTACATGACGATGAGGTTGGCGTCCATGGAGTTCTCGAGGAGCATCTCGCGCAGCCTGATGTGGCGGTTGGTCTTCTCGCGCTGACTCAGCAGCTCTGTCTCGGTCAGCGTCACGCCTGTAATGTGGGCAGATATGAGACGACATTATTGAATAAACTTGAGGAGGGAGATCATAACAACGATGGCATGAATGAAGATGGTATGGATGTCAATGGCATGGACGATGATGGCATTGATGTTGATGGCTTGGATGTCGATGGCATGGACGATGATGGCATGGATGACGATTTCAATAATTGAAAAATACAAGCATGCACCCCATAGAAAATTGAGAAAACTACCATAAGCATCAGTATATCAATGCCAATGCAGGATATTAATGCCAATCTAGGACATTAATGCTCATAAATCAACTCTCAGCTGGTGTGAATGGAAAATAGAACCTTGCGCACCTACACGTCCAGTTCCCTACGAGGCATAACATCCAACACGTGAAGCTATCGACTCATGAAGTATTTTCAGATCTCACTTAAACTGATCATAGAACAAAGATTTCAAAGTTCAGTCCTGGAAAAATAACCAGCAAGAATTTAGCAACACGTGAAATCCAAGTTCGCCCTCATGCATCGAGTCGTTATACAGATCATAGGCGCAAATTATATTCGTACCGTCGCCGGTGTTGTCGGAGGTCTTGAACTTCTCGATGAGAGCCTCGAAATCTGCCTTGCTCGAGTCCTTGGCCTTCCTCATGGCGTCGGGGATGACGATGACGTCACCGTAGTCGATCCTGAACTTGGAGAGGAGGTTTGCCATGCTGCGCTGCTCCATGTCGAGCTCGTCGCGACGGTTGGCGAGGGCGAAGATGCGCAGTTTGCAGTTGCTCCAATTGGAGCGAGTCGTCAGGATGTATGGAAGCAAGAGTGTTAGACCGCCATCGTCATACAGCCACCACACGTCAATGGTTCCCTGGAAGCAGATTAATGGGTTGTTAGGACAGCCACCACACGTCAATGGTTCCCTGGAAGCAGAGTAAAGGGTTGTTAGGACAGCCACCACACGTCAATGGTACCCTGGAGGCAGAGAAAATGGTTGTTAGGACAGACACCACACGTCAATGGTTCCCTGAAAGCAAACTAAAGGGTTGTCAGAGTCGAATGATCACATTTTGCTAGCAAAAGATGTTGGCATCATCAAGAAAATTTTGCAGTATATAACAAATCCTGATATTCGTGGAGGTTTCTGACCGCCAAATGTTGAGCCGTACCTTCTCTAATGTTGAGCCGTACCTTGTTTAATAATGAGCCGTACCTTCTTTACAATTAGTAGTAACTTCTTCAATATTGAGCCGTACCATCTTTACTATTGAGCCGTACCTTCTTCTGCTTCCTCTGGAAAATGGTGATGTTATTGAGGACTTCCTTGGAGAGCTTGGCGCCACCAGGGCCGTGGTAGAGGCTGGACAAGGAGCCGCGCTTCTTCTTCTTGCGGTCTAAGGCGCCCTCGAGACCAGACGCGTTCGCGCGCTCGGGCTCCGGAGACCCGGGGGGCGTGGACGCCTCGCTGCCGGTGCCGTCTGCACGCAGGGAGCCCACGTGTAATTCTCAGCTTTTTTTATAGAGTATTACTCAAAATTCATTAGTAGATCTTTTATATATAAGATGTTACATGTATTTAGATGAAGCTGAAAACGCTAGAGCCGCATAAAATCGGGCCATAGCAAAAAAGTTTAATTAAAGGCATATTCCATCATTTGCATGCTGGAAAATTCTGTTTCATGTACTAATCGTTAAATAAATCACTAATTCCAAACGTTTATAGATGCAAATATTATGTTGTTGTTCTTCTATCACAGTTTCGACACTGAACTAGTGTATGCGGGTATATTGAGGTAATGTACGGTATGCATGTATTTCTAATATTGAAAGCAGAATTGTTAAAATTTTCTTGTCGTTAAATATTCTGCACATAAGATGCATCCATAATACATTTATTAAGTAAACCAAGACCAATTCCTTTAGCTAATTAAACAGATAATCACTCGGTTTCTACTAAAACAACATTAAACAATAAAAGCAGCACAGCACAGCCAAATCTACTGCACATCTTAACTACTAAGCTCACCTCGAACACTAAGCACGTAAATAAGTTGCTATTCCACAAGCTAAACTACTAAGCCCTATATGACAATCACATTACAATTGTTTGGTCTATTTAACCCATTGAAGCACTTGGCGCCTCGACAGGAAGTTACTTGCGGCAATAGAAAATATTTTATGACATTAGCGGCGCGCAACGAGCTGCTTTATCTCAGATGAGGTCTGAGAACTGCTCAAAAAGTCAATCCCATAGTATAGGACCGTAAATTCTTTGGAAAAGAGTTGAAAATGTTCGAAAAAAAATGTTTTAAATGTTGTAATAATCATTGCAGTAAGTATTGATCAGATGGAGCTTCATTTCAATATTGACCTTAATTTTCTTTGGCCAGTCAATAAAATTTTGTTCTTATTTCGAGCGAGAAAAAGACAGACATTGCTCCTTTGTTGACAGGAGCTGCCGCAAACACGACTCCTGAAGGATGCCGTGGGTACACCAGTGTGCTGCGTAGGCAGCCAGCCAGGGCTACTACATGGCAAAAAAGTTTAATAATTGACTGCAAACAATTTATTTGAAGAACCAAAATTATAGGCACAGCACTGCATTTTAAGTTTGAAAGTTTGGGATCTGCTGCGAAGTTTATAAATGAAAAATTAGGATCGTTTTACAAGCATTGACGCCCAGTCAAGTGAAGTGTCAGAACAATTTGCCCATGCAACATCAAACAAATGAAAGGCTGTGCATGTAAAAATGGTGCGCACGAATGCAGGGACGCCATTGTGAAAATTTGTGATGATGCTGAAGCGGACAGACAGGCTGGTTGTGTACAGTGTTGCAGGTTCCAGTGTTGCAGCTGACAGAAAAAGCAGGTTTTGTGATGTTTTGCATGCGGAAGTGTTGCAGCTGACAAGAAAATGCAGGTTTTGTGAGGTGTTTATGCTGCAGTGTTTCAGCTGACTTATAAGAAGCCGGTTGTGGTAGGAGTGGTTGACACCACACAACCCACTGCAGGACTGAAGGTAGCCGGGCAAGCGATGTGCAACCAGCCGTACGCCAGCCGTCATGGCTGCCAGCAAAGGAGATCGGAAACTTTTTAACAACGACCGCCGTGCAAAAGCAATGAGGAATCAGTTCACTGCACAACAGAAGTTCACTGAAAATCAAAAGTGCAGGAAGCAAACCGGGCACACGGACAATATAGGTTAGTTTCCAGTCTAAACTAGCGCATGAGATAACCTGAACCATCTGCCAGTTGCTGGCAGATTAGGTAAACCAATAATGTTGCGCCAGAGCCTATACTGGTGAACACAATATAGGCATTCAATGGGATGTAGAAGAAAACATGTACAGCACACAGCAACATGATCAATGTGCAGTAACAGCGATGTGTTGCAGTAGAACGCCGAATAATAAACTGAGTATTGTAGTACTGTGAACGATGGAAACGTTCACTGTTAGTCTCCGCTGTTCACTCAAGTGCAATAAAATACCAGCGACAGAAACTTTATTTAGATCGGTTTTAAGAAGATAATCACAGGCGTTTGGTCGTATTGCTTGTGGCCGTCTGACAACATTCAAAATTTGCGGTGACGTCCTGTGACAGTAGAATACCATACCGGTACAATGACACTCCTATGTAGCGTATAGATGCAAATAGATAAACCATCTGAACCACAAATGGTGCAAATCAGAACCCGACATTGTTGAACCCATGTTAGAAACCATAGCTGGACACTGACCCAAGCCCTACTCTAGTAATTATTACAGGGCCATTAGTGACCCATTACCTAGCCCTACTCTAGTAATTATTACAGGGCCATTACCCTATCAAAATTTAGAGGTGATGGCGACTCAGAATTTTGGACCGCTTATAGGACTCAATGAACACGTAAATCAGCCGCTCATGTCCGCTTCGGCTTAGAGTTTGAATGACAGCCTCTGGGCTGCTTTCTAGCTCGGTATGACTCGGCTCGGCCTGCTCTTCTCTTACTCTTAGGTGACTTTAAAGTTGGAAATGAGATTCTGACCAGAAACCGATTTCGTTCAGGTGGCCAAGCGGACTCAGAATGACTTTGCGCCGAGTGTGATGACTATTCGGCCGAACCCTAGACGGTCCCCGAATTTTGTTAGGGTAGAAACCACAATTAAGGCACTGAAGTCTAGAAAACATTAGAAACCAAAACGAGGATACAAACCCAGAAAAGTCGCTATTTATTTTTCACAGGCGTCAATCCTAAGACTCGTGTTAACATACTGATACCAGCCGTCATTCAACAGAAGTCTTGCTTTTGAATTAGTATACTCAGCACATCAGAAAAAGCGTTCAGAGAAGAGAGTGATAAAGACAATATGGTGTAATTACCAGGTGATCGTGGCGTGATTAAGACGAGCACATTGCGGGGACAGAGCTAAGTTCATCCATAGGATACACTACAAATGAGTTAGTTATAGAATTCAAGTGTTGTGAGCTGAACTTCATTGGACGATTGTTACGGGATTCGGGGGTGACATGAGAGCGTCTTCTACTGAAAGTTCGACGAAAAAATATTTTATTTTGAATATAAAAATATTGAATTTAGGAATAGATTAAGGTAAGGTCCCAAAATTGATCATATCAAGATATAAGAACAAATGCAACGAAACGATTTCAGAAACAAAAATATTAGAAATGATGAAACGCTCTCAAGCAGCCTTTGAAACGCGGGTTGCCCAACNACCCTCACCACACACATGATGTGTGGTGCTACGAGTACACACCACTAGACTATCTCACACCCTCATCACAGTCACAGTTAGTGCAGTGTAATGTCAGTAAGCAGCTCAGCAAGCAAGGATCGCTGCAGGGCTCAGGGTCACGGCGTCAGTGGGGACGCTGCCAGCCAATGATGCGAGGCTCAGTCTAAATTTTTACTGTTTTTTAGGCCGGATAAATTTTTACATATTCATATTAAAAGTATATTTTTCCTTGATTATTATGACGTAGAATGAGTCACACGATCAAAGTTCGTGTCAAAAATTTTGAGCAAAAATTGAAACCGGCCATTCATGTCAGATGAATTGCGGCTTAATACAAGCGGGACATTCCTGTGACGCGTGCCCCCTGCACCCTGAACAGAGCTGGAGGGACAGAATCAACCACACTCACCACTCACCCCAATGCTTTTTGATCACCCATAACGGGGGGAGACTGGACAGCTTACGGGTGAGCTCTGGTAAAAGTGATGCGGTAGAGAGGAGTCGGGGGAGAGGTTAAAGGTGATGAGTGGAATTGTGCCAGGAAAAATGGCGAGCAGAATGAGAGTATGGGAGAAAAAATGGGTTGCGCAATAAAATT